ACCCAGACTTCCTGGACAAAAATGCCACAATGGTTTGTGATTATCCTCAAAATTATTTAAAGAAACTTGTMTGGAATAAAGTCAAGTCAAATGCTCCAGATTTCTATCATTTATTAGAAAACATGTACATTGAACATGATGAATTAAATTTGCTATTACGACAACACAAAGATGCTGGTGGTGCATTGACAAGTAAGGAAGTGGCTTGCCRTTGGTTGCRGAAGAAGAAGKCAGTATGGGTGTYKTGGTTGTCAAGTGGTTTACCGTCTGGCAAAGTACCAGTGTATTTGGGTGGCATGTTTCCAATGGATGACAATAATGGTGCTTTGTGGGTTAGACCTGGAATTCTTACAGGTTTGTTTTGCTGGTTGTTTTTGTTTGTGCTTTTGTTGATATTGGAAGTGCTGTTGTTGTCATCATGATTTTGTTTCTGATGTTGTTATCATCTTTGCTGTTTCTGTTGTTGTTGTTGCTGTTGTTTTTGCTGGTGTTGTTGTTGCTGCTGCTCTTGTTGCTGGTGTTGTTGTTGCTGGTGTTGTTGTTGCTGGTGTTGTTGTTGTTGTTGTTGTTGTTGTTGTTGTTGTTGCTGCTGCTGTCACTATTGTTGTTGCTCCTGCTGCTGTTGTTGCTCCCAATGATCTTTTCATGATATTTGCAATTGTTGTTATTGGCATACACATCACATATGATATTAACATGTGTTTTTGTTGTTGTTGTTGCATGTATTGGTCTGTTGATTGTTTTGTATTTAATATTGTTACCATCATGTTACCATCATCATGCTATTGCTGTTGTTGTTGATGATGATAAGTTGTCATTGCTATAAGTGACATGCTACATGTATTTATAAATAACATTGTAATGTTGTCATTGTTTATGTTTCATGGCCTTTTTCCTTGTTTTCACCTTCAGGTGCAACCATGGCTCTACAAARGATAAATGACCAGCCTGACATCCTCACCAACTACTCTCTCCACCTTATCACCAAAAGTACTCAATGYCAGACATCCTTGGTCCTTAACAGCTACATCCAGTTTGTCTCCTCACAAAACTACTCCCTAGTAGGAATACTTGGACCTGCYTGCTCCATGCAGGCTGAAATACTTGCTGAAGTCTCACCCTTTTATAAYACAATWGTGATGGGTTACAGTCTAGAGGGAATCAACCTTGCAAACCGTCAAAAATACCCACTGTTTTTCAGAACTTCACCAAGTTATTTTGAATTCAAGAAGGCATATTCTGCTTTATTTTATGCCTTGAATTGGAAGCAGTATGCCGCATTGACAGATGTCAATTATGTRTCTGGGGTAGTTACTGCGATTCATGAGTACCTGGCCGATAGAGGTATCAAGCTGGTGTATTCCAGGTTTATAGCGCTGCAGGARAGTGCTGATATYAAGAGTTATTTGGAGTCTATAAGGAAGAGCAATGCAAGGATTATTTTAGGGCATATGTTTGAGGATGTGGCAAGGAAAGTGGTTTGTGAGGCTATTAAACAGGTTAGAAGCAAAACACTTCAGATAAGCAAAT